AAGCTAAAAAAGCTGTATAAGCTAATTTGAGCTTCGAACATTTTAAAAGACAATGAGTACGGGTTACCAAATACCAAAATACCGGGTAGCGAATACCGAGTACCGAGTACACAGTAAAGAGTACAGAGTACCGAGTACCGAGTACAGAGTACAGAGCACCGAGTAACGAGTAGCAAGCTAAGTTGAGAACGGTACAAACATGAAACACGCAAAGCAATAAGTACTCGTTGAAAAGCGACTCGTTATGTTTGGCAGTAACTGCACTCGTTGTTATGTACATACATATTCAGACGTTACTTCCAATGGGAACGTTGAGACGAGAACAATGGAAGTTAGAGCTACACCAGAACATCTAGATAGCACACAACTGCCTAGAAAACAGAATTATTAGCATGACATACACAATAAAAAAATAAATATTTTTTAAACTTACCTATTAAAATCAGAAAAATTTCCTGAATATTGCAAAGCGAAAACCAAAACCAAAATCAAACTCAATTTCAATTTTCTTTCTCTTTTCTACTTCTAGATCGCGCTGGCGTAATTGTCTCCCGCGACTGTCACTTCGAGGTGGTTGGACAAAAGGAGAACGTCTGCACAGTTACGCACAGTCGCCAAGTGGAGAGCTGTTACACCTGCAAAGGTGATCTGTGCAATGCCTCGTCTGCAGGACGATTTGTGGCAATGACTTCAGCAGCGCTGCTCGCTTTATTCGCCCTTCAAATGGCGCTGTGAGAGGCAGCAGCTCATTGAATATTAATAATAATATAATGTACAATTTTTTTAAAAATATTATTTCTTTTCTTTTCAATATAAGAATAAATTGCGAAATTCCGTCAACTAAAGACTAACCTGAAAACATCTTGCACGCATTTGTAGCTTTGTAGGACGTTATCTACTTCCAGCCAAAAATCTTCGCGTATATCCATTTCCAACTATTTTATTATTATTTTCTTTAAATTGACCACAAATACAAACGAAATTGCGAAATTCTTCACACAAATTACACAGAAGGCACAATAAAGCTGTTTTTTGGGTACAACCACACTGGGTGCTGAAAATAACGGCGCTTTTTGCGGACACAAGATTTTTCGTTTACAGAAATAAATGTCTTAAAATACGCATACAAAATGTTCTTAACAAGTAAACAATAATAAATGTACTTAACAGCCGTATACATACGGTTTAAAACGTTGAAACCGATTTCTTAACACTTTTAAACAAAAATTCTAGACGAGCAACGCGTACAAACACCGAAGACACGCAAAGGAAAGAAATTGTCATTCGCAAATGGCGCCCAACAACTCTCGTGCAACGAAATCTTCGGTGGGCCACACACGTCACAATGTGTTGTATGAGACGATAAGTTATCGTTGGGCGAGTAACGAGAGCGAATTGGCATTAAAAAACATATGAAAATAATTTGAAATATAAAAAATTAAATACGATAGTAAAATAATTGCTGAACATAAAATTGTTAATTATATTTAGCTCTAAATTTATTGTCATACAAAGAACTAATATTCGTACTTTTTACTCGCTACAGTTGATTTCGATATATAATCAAGATTAATTCATAATATAATAATGGTGAAATCGTGGTATTTAACCAAATATCAAATTAAAGCTGCAGAACTAGTTCGGTTAATTATGAAGAGAATATATATTTTTCCTTTTTATTTCCTTTTTCAGTAGCGAAATCATTGAGCAAAATAAATAGAACAGCAATTGAAAGCAAAGAACTAGTTCTATTGGTTAAGCTTTAATTTTAAATTGGAAACTGAGAGAATTTACAATTATATTTTTTATTTATTATAGAAGTTAAAATATATATTTAAAGCTAACTATATATATTACAAATTGAAGAAAATGTTTGAAAACAAATTTTTAAATATTTAAATGGTTTTTATTCAGTTGTAAAAATGTTCTAATTTGTATTACAATAAAAATTTGTAAACTTTCGTCACTTAAGCTAAACAAGTGTAAAAATCGGCATACAAAATAAACGAGATTGCGCTTAATCTTAATTGATAAGGAATGTGAATATGTATGTATATGCATATATCGATCGTAATGCATATACTTTGTGTGTGTGTATAGATATCTCTAGATATGTACGCAAAGACAGGACGGAAATGCGTTTCATATGTTAAGTTTAGTTCGAGTTCGAAGGCACATTTAAAAATTACACAAACAGTATTCGAGTACAGTTGTCATTCGCTAAAGGCGACGGCGCATCTATTGCCGCAGAAAGTGCGCCACAAGGCTGACAGCAAAGGTGCCAAGGAGGACGTTGAGCAGGCTACTCCTTTGTAGGCCGGCGCCGTTGCAGCCATCCTTGCTGTTGCAGGTGCAGTACTCCATGAAGATGTTGTAGCTGCCGGTGCGCATCAAGCAGAAGCGCTCGTCGCCCTCGATGCCCGGCTCGCCCATGTAGGCGCAGCTGCGGAAGTAACGCCACTCCCCGTGCACCTTTTGGCGGATCTTGCGACACATTGTGGGCCGGACACCCTTCAGATGCTCTAGTTCGCTGGCCTGGTGGCAATCCGTAATCGCTAACGTGCTGTTATCAAAGGGATCTCCACACTTGGGATCGCTATCGGAGCGACATTCCCAGCACTTGATGGCCGAAGCTGCGACGATTGAGACACCACGAGACAAATTAGTTACACTGTTTGTTTTTGTTAATTAACTGCGCATGCCACTTACCTGTGTGCAGCAGAAAGCATAGCACTGCAACGGCTAATACACATTTCTCCATTGTTTGCATTCTGAGTTGCGTCTTAATATAACTTTAATTAACAATTCTTGAGCATCAAATTAATGAAAACAAAATGCGAACACCGCCCTAAAACTTGTGATGCATGCAGCGATAGTTGTTTGGTGTTATCGATGATGTTGGCAGCGTTGCCACCCAGACATTGTTGGTATTTTATCTGTTATAACTTAAAATTAATATTTTAATACAAATTTAACGTTCTCATAACTGTATGAGTGCCTTGGTAAATCTTTTCTTATATATGTAAATGTTTTGATTGATAATTATTTTATTTAACCAAGAGCAATAAGAAGCAGCTGTTACGTTATTTGAGATTAAGTCTGTTAAATGAGCAGTTATTCACAATGAACATTGCCTCGCCAATTATCCGACCGCCACAATCAGTCATCTGTAATTGAACTGTTAGAATATACGGTTTGTTGTTAAATTAAGTTGATTTGGGAATTAAAGTTACATTGAACAAACGAAAAGAAATTCTGTTAGCAATGCCTTAAAAAATATAACATTAATTTCAATTTAAATTTTTTCGAAACGGTTAAAATAGCGTTTGCTGTTAAACTTTACAGTGCACTGTTAACTTATTGATGCCAGAAATCATATGGTATTTTTTTCAGTTTTTGGACGGACTCGATTTTCACAAGTTGCAACTTGCGGAGTTGCTTGAAAAAAAGAATAACAAATTTTTGTTAGCTGCATTCCGCTGCCGCGCGTGCTGTGTGAACGTGTGTGTGAATGATAGCGCTGACTGCATTATTAACCAAATACACGATCGGTATTATGAGCAATCTAAGCAATGGTAATTTGCAACAGAATCAACCACAACAACAACAACAACAACAGCAGCAACAGCAACAGAATAACGGTGAAGCGGGCGCGGGTGCGCCTGCGGCGCCTCTGCTGCTAGAGCCTGGTGGTCCAATGGCCGCACCTGGTCTGGGTGTCGCCGTAGGCGTGGCACAGCGTCAGCGCCTGCTGCTGCAGCAGCAACAACAACAAAATCCCGCCGCCGAAGGCAGTGGCCTGGAACGGGGCAGCTGCCTGCTGCGCTACGCCAGTCAGAACAGCCTCGATGAGAGCTCCCAGCGGCAGCGACCGAACGGCAAGGAGCGCGGCACTGTCGGCCAATACAGCAACGAGCAGCACACGGCGCGCTCCTTTGACGCAATGAACGAGATGCGCAAGTAAGCAGAAACTATTAACTCCACTGACAGATACCCTGTAAATCAGTTAGTGTAAAGTTAAAGCGAGAAAAACAAGTGACAACAAAGTGAACAAATTTAAGTTTCCCAATTCAGTGATGTATATATTAATGCACGACTTGCTAATACCCTGGTGCTGCTTAAAACACTTTAATTATAAATAGTTCAGTGCAATACAACATAAAGTGCACTAAAATTATAGTATACTGACTAGCAGATACCCTGTTATTTATTTGCATGCAATATATGCCAAACGTGACTAAGAGTTACCCTACACATCTCCATAGCCAAACATACAGCTACAAATTATATAAATTTATATTTAGATATTTCTTTTTCAAACTTCCGTCTCGCGACGCTATTATAGTTCATACCCGTTTGACCTATATTTAAAGGATATCGGGATGTAATTAAAATGTAATGAGCCAATAGCTGGCAAGAGAACAATTACCTAAGAAAAAGGAAGTGTCGCAATTAAGAACAAGTGTAGCACGGGCATGACTAGTGAATACCCTGTAGAACAAAGTACTTAATACATGAGAGTGCCTTAAATGATATAGTAAATATATATTCGATATAAAGTGTTATAGTCAATAGACCCATTTGACTCACTTTTTAATGGGCATATATAGAGCAATGGGAATACTTAACATCTCATCAGCAAAATTTGCCTATTGCTTGTTATAGTAAATATACCCGATTGACACCATTTTAATGGGTGTACAGACAAATATGAATTCTGCCCAAAATTTGTTTATTTTGGTCTTGGCAAAAATATGACTTTTATAATGGGCAAAAAAGTGACGAGACGCGGTCAACAGTTGTTGTTGCCGATCTCTCGGCCATCTATTCTCTCGTTCTAGCCCTCTCTCTCTCTGTCTCTCTCTTGCTCGCATAATTGCGCATTACGCTTTATTTGTCTTCAACTTTAAACAGCGATAAAGTATGAACAAACAGCGCATACTTACACGCACACACACATACATATGCATATACACATGTACATACCCTATGTCTGTGTGTATATATTCACCTCTCGATTCGCTTTTGTCAAGAGGCCATTCCCATCAATATTCGACTTTGCTTTGATTTTAATGATGAGTAGCTTTTTTTTTTTCTTTTCTTTTTTTTTTGTATTTTATTTTTGTTTGTTTTGTTTTCGCGTTAGTCAAATATATTTGCCCTTGAACTTGAAATTGCCCCGGTTTTTCGTTTCGTTTTTTTGTGTTAATTTTTTTTTTCTTTTTCTTTATTTGGTTTTTAATTTATTTATTCACTTCCCACTTCCGTGTGGTCAGCTGATTAGATGTCGCCTATATGGAAAAATACCTTAATGGAAATATTTGTATAGGTTTTTTTTTTCTGTTTTGAACTGCGAAACTTGTTTTGGTTTCTTTTTCGTTTTCTGTAAGCCAATGCCCTAAACGAGCTACGCACCGTGGGTCCAATGGACTTTAAAGCTCGTTTTTCGTTTACATACATACATACATACATATTCTAAATTGTAACGAATTGAAAATTCCTAAGTTCACATTTGCTTTACAGTTTAATCCACATATAATGCTTGAATAATAGTTTTGTAGTTCTTTTTTTTTTATGTATTTATTTTCATTAGTTTATCTGTCGATAAATATCTTATGTTAGATGATTTATAGGGTTTTATTTCATTGAATTTTACATATATACAAAATAATTTTGTGCTTTAAAAAATAACTTATTATTATATAAATAATTTATATTATATATTTATATAAATAATTTGTATTTTTTATAGAAGAAATTTTAACATTAATACATATTCAATATTTATAATAATAATTAAAATATGTTCACAATATTTAGTTAATTTGACGTCTCGCACCACTGTGCCGTATTTTATAGAAAGTTTATACTAAACCACTAAAAACGTGCTGACCTTACTCAATAACATGAATATCATACGATCCATACTTAATTCGCAGACAAAAACAGTTATGTGATGTCATTCTGGTCGCCGACGATGTGGAGATTCACGCCCATCGCATGGTGCTGGCCTCGTGCAGTCCCTACTTCTTTGCCATGTTCACCAGCTTCGAGGAGTCGCGCAAGTCGCGCATCACACTGCAGAGCGTGGACGCACGTGCTCTGGAGCTGCTCATCGACTACGTCTACACATCGAATGTGGAGGTAAACGAGGATAATGTCCAGGTGCTGTTGACGGCCGCCAATCTGCTGCAGCTGACGGATGTGCGGGATGCCTGCTGTGATTTTCTGCAGACTCAATTGGATGCCAGCAATTGTTTGGGCATTCGCGAATTCGCCGATCTGCATGGCTGCGTCGAGTTACTCAACTATGCCGAGACATACATTGAACAGCATTTCAAGTGAGTGCACAAGTGGGCGATCAATCAAGCAATAAGCCAATTAATTAATCAATCAATCAATCATTCAAATTCAGATTTATATAATTTGATATTTGATTATTAATG